GGTGTCCCTGCCCATGGCAGGGGGGTTGGAACTGGATGATCTTTGAGGTCCCTCCCAACCCAAACCATTCTGTGATTCTATGATTCTATGAAAGGCCACAAAGCAACAGTAGTTTGGCTCTGGCATCTCAGGACTTTCAACCTGTACCAGAAGAGGTTTGTATCAGGAAACTGCACACGAACAGCATCGGAATGAGATATCTGACTGGATCTAAAATAGTCATGTATCATTTATTATGACACTTGGCAAGTTGATTTGATGACAGCATAATACTAGTAACTACAAGAACAAAGAACAGAAGCTGCTTCTTTCCCCAACTAAGACTGCTCCTTTTCAGGCTCACAGAGCTCCCAATGGTTTCAAGTGATATTAATTTACGTATCAATAGATACTCACAGTTTTCAAGTGATATTAATATACATACCAATAGATTCCTCAAATGCAAAGAGAACTTCTTTTCCATTATCTAGGAGGTCTTTTACTCTACTTCCAATCCATTTAAAACCAGGGAGTGTTTCCTGAAACAGAAAAAAAAAAGAAAATTAAACACACATTTTCTACTTAGTTTCAAGTCAAAGAAGAAAGCGTAGCCACTATTCCTTTCACTTCCAGGATTAACTGACCAGCAGCATAGGTAAAGTAAAAGACAAACAATTTGTATCTTTAGTACAGATGGTGAATCTGAGGCAAAGAGTCACTGGATAACATTCTACTAGTGAACACTCAACTGGGACATGAACAAATCAAGGAGTAAGCGTGCATGAGAGACTGGGGTCCTCTCTGAGATCAGATGAGCATCACAGAAGACCTTATCAGATGAGATTACAGTACAAAGTTACTCAAAAGGAAAAGTTACAGAAATATAAACAGCAGGTTTGGGTGATGGGAGGGAATAACACTGCCTGTGTTCTTCAAATCATGCAAAAGCAGTCAAAAGCTTAGAAATGGTCCTTCTTGGAGAGAAGGTACAAAGAGGGGAAGCTTTCAGAGAAGACCAAGGGGTTCTGTGAATTCCTAGCTGTTTTCCAGTCAAACGTGTCCCTTCCCAGAAAGAAAGGGAAAAAAAAAAGAACAGTATTTAGTGAGACAAAGAAATTTAGTACAAGGCAGTGATATGAAAGAGCCCCCAACATAAGAAGGACATTCTGGAGCCCCCAACATAAGAAGGACATGGACCAGTTGGAGAGGGTCCAGAGGAGGGCCACGAAGATGATGCGAGGGCTGGAGCACCTTTCCTATGAGGACAGGCTGAAAGAGTTGGGGCTGTTCAGCCTGGAGAAGAGGAGGCTCCGGGGTGACCTTATAGCGGTCTTCCAGTACCTCAAGGGGGCCTACAGGAAAGATGGGGAGAGGCTGTTCAGGAGGGCCTGTTGTGATAGGACAAGGGGTAATGGTTTTAAAATAGAGGGAGGTAGATTCAGGTTGGATATTAGGAAAAAATTTTTTATCATGAGAGTGGTTCAACACTGGAACAGGTTGCCCAGAGAGGTGGTGGATGCTCCATCCCTGGAGACGTTCAAGGCCAGGTTGGATGAGGCCCTGAGCAACCTGATCTAGTTGGAGATATCCCTGTTCCTTGCAGGGGGGTTGGACTAGATGACCTTTGAAGGTCCCTTCCAGCCTTAACCATTCTATGATTCTATGATTCTATGATATTCAACCTGGTTAAGCATATCTGGACAGTCACTCAAAATGATTTTCAGAACTGCTTTCTATTGTAGTTTTTAATTCCACATTGTTTGGCAAAATATTCTTTCCTACTGCACATGGATTTAACTAAGACGTGTACTAAGCCAAGCCTGGATTCTTGCATGTTTGTGCTCAGCTCTAAAGCACTTGCATTTCTTACAGCCAACATCCACCAGCCTCAGAAATCAGCACAAGCCCTTAATTTGAAGGCAGGAACGGAAATAACAACTGCCAGTCTGCGGGGACACTCCCATTTTCTTTTTTTTTTTTTCTCCAGCAAGTCCTTAATGAAACTATCTTAAAGATGTGAACATGAGAGTTCCTCTGTCTGTCCCAGCTTGCAGTAAAATCAAATTTCAAACCTACTAGTGATGTGAAGGAACACCGGGCAACGTTTGTTACACGCTCATCCCAAAGCACTCTGTTTTTGCAGCAAACACACCCAGCTGCACACACTTTCCTTCTCTCACACCGAAGGATCTATCTCTAGGAAAATGACCAAGACAAAGGTGTTTGTGTTACACATAATTCAGGCTTTAATTTTTGCCTCTGGTTACCACCTCCTTGCAGCTTTGCTAAGTTGATCTCACAGTCTGCATTCACTGTAACATGCACCGAGAAACACTGCAGATGCTGACATCAGGCTTGAAAAGGTGAAAGAGCATCCTCTGCAAGTTGGAATGCATAAAAATTCCCAGCCAGAAGACTGGAAGTTATCCATCTATTTCTCATTTTGTAAAGTCGTAAGCGCGTGTGTGCGGGTGCGAGACGGAGAACACGGCAATCGGATCTTCCTCTGCCAAGAAGACATCACAAAACCCACACTTACTTCAAAGTGAAATCCCTCCTTCAGTGCAATAGCCCTCAAAATTTTCGAGGAGACCGTGGTCGCTAACATGTAAACATTCTTCACATCAGCATCTTCAGAACAGTTTTCCTTCCAGCACGAAAACATCCACCACCCAAACAAAGCTGCCAGCTCGTTGCCAGTGAAGACCTTCCAGCAGCCACTGCAGACAGGACAGAAAACATCAGAGCTCCTTCAGGTTTCCCAGAGGGAGACACTTCCTGCAGTCACTGGAACAAGAGGACTCTGAGCACACTACTGACAAGCTGCTCCACACAAAGCCACTTTACCAACAGGACTCCACGTTTATCACGTCTCAAGGATTTACGAGCCCAGTGCATTCTGTTAGCAAGCAAAGATGCCATTTAAGTATCCTTGCTGTCAGCTTTGGAACAGCTTAGGTCTTCTTGATTTCTCACCCAGGAGTGTAGCAGCCTACACAGTCTATACATTGCAGCCAGGCAATGCCTGTGCTACGGCGCATCAGAGACAGTTACTTACACAATGATGGGAATTTTGGCCTGTTAGTGGAAGAAAAAGAATTTCTATTCAATATGAAGACGACAGGGGCAAAAAAAAAAAACAACCAACCAAACAACGACAACAAAAAAAACCTCAAAAAAGCCCACAACAGCTAACTGTCCCAAGGTAGAATTTGTTTGCCTAATATAAGTGAAAAAATAAACAGTAACAAGATTTTACTGTCTTTAGTAACCACTCAACTTCTCATTTAAGTCTTCTTTGGCCATTTATTGTGACAGTGGAAAGTATTTAATCTTTTCTGAGTTATCAACTGACTTTATTTAAAATCCATTATTTCAGGTGGAGCTACACCAAAAGATGATGCCAGCAAGAAAAATACCCAACTAGCTAAGTCACAACAGGAAAGAGTGGGCTGAAGGTGTGTGCCAGTCTACCATTTGGGGATGTTCTGCAATTTCCTCTACCCATTCTGCAGAGAGAGAGAAAAGAAAAGGTCTCATCACTCACTGCTCCTGCTGTTCTGCCACTGCTAATCTATCTGCATCCGGATCAGTGGCCACTACGACTCTGGCATTTTCTTTCTCTGCAAGCCTCAGTGACAACTCCTGGTGGGAGAAGAGGGAGGAGAAAAATATAAATAAAAGCACAAGAGCAAATAAACCTGCAGTCTTCCTACTTATAACATACAGTGAAAGAAAAATCTCATACAGATTGCCCACTGTATTAACACAGCTGAAAGCCAGGCACCCCCTGTTCTCCTCCCCAATTTGTTTTTCAACACAGTATCATATCCAAACAGAGGAAAACTCAAAAAATCTGATGAAGTAGAAAACAAAAATACCAGCACAGATTCTCCTTCTTCAGGATTTGGGCATTTGACAGTAGAGAAGTCTGGATCTGGATCTTTTTGTTCAGGTACTGGAATGGGGGGCTGAAAGCCAAAGGCTTTGAAAGCCAACTGCACGTAGTCGTGTCCAACTCCATGAAATGAGGTATGAACAAACTTCAAATTTGTTTGCATGTTTAGCTCCCTGAGAAGGAAAACAGAATCTCAGTGAGATTTTAGTTATTTAATAAGACTACTTTCAGGTGGGAACGCAAAAGCAAAAGAAAATGCAATTACACTTTGTACTGTTCTGCTGATTTCTGCATTAATTTCAAAGAAGGAACGAGTGAAAAGTGCTCGTTGGACTTTCATTAGAAATTGCTGGTTTAAAGTTTCTTCTCCCGGAAAAGGAGATATTTACCTTCTGCTGAAACAGCTGAAAGCCTCCCAAGAACACACTGTTAATTTCTGCATCAAACTCAAGCTCTTCCACCACCCCTGAAGATCTTACTCTGGCTCTACCTGACCTACATTATTCATCCTCCTCCTTTTATTCTTGTCTTCTGCCTCACCTAACCTTTAAACTTAATCTTCTCACCTCTATTCCATGCATGTACACCTCAGCTTTACTCTGAACTTCTGCATTTTATTCAGAACAATTTTTGAGCCTATTCATTTGCACAAAATGGTTGGCATCAGGTGCTTCACTGTAGCCTAGTGTCCAAAGGCTGCTTTTTTGTCAAGAAGTATGGTTTAGTCCTACCGATGGTGACCACCTAATTTAACGACCCACCAGAGAAGGGATGGGGTAAGAGAGAACGAGGAGATGACTGAAAATTATTCCCACCATGAAGAGCACAGAGCAATTGCCTCGAGCAGGGAGTGACGTCTGTGAGAGAGCGGAGCACCCAGCTTCTCTGAACCGTACAGACAGAAATCAAGTCCCTGCATTGTGACCATAAAAACCACTACAGGCAGGTCCAAAACTATTTTGGAAGACAGCCCATGCCTGATACCCAAATCAAAATGTTTAGGTATGGCAGCATCCCATGCTTTATTATTGAAGTCTTATCTGTCAGCACCCAATTCTCCACATGTAACCCAGAGCTTAAAAACAGAATTTAAGTACGTTTTCTTTTATACAATACCTATGGTAACAGATCTTTTTCAGATCCTCCATGTAACAGTCACAAATTTTCTTCAGAGGATCCTGTCTCAGGGGACTGGTATCTACTAGATTCTCATTCCAAGAGCCATTCCATGGTTCAACGCACTCTTCTATACATTTTATTATTTCTTTATCGTGAGGCGAGGTGATCTGTGCTCCATTTTCCCAATAAACCTGGTATAAGTTAAACGAAAACAAGACACAGTTTATTTACAAAGATTATCAGCTTCACCAATTCTCTTAGCCTACAGGATTCCTGCTTCTTGAAGTCACACAGAAAAGGCTCGATTCTCTAAAATCATTTGGAACCATACAGTTTACAATTTTAGTTATGTAATGATAGCTACTCAGCAACACAACCTATTTTCCAAAAAAAGCTGGTATTCAACTATCATGATTGAAATCATCAGGACGTGAGAAACTGAAACTGGGCACTTACATTTGAGGGTGTTGTGCAAACTGCAACAGAAAAAAAAAAAAAATACCTTCTACGTAGTCTTGATGGCATTCTTTTTGAAAAAGAAGCACAACTTGTTTTTGAAATCAAAGCAAGCCAGATATGCAGTGTGCCAAAGTACATGTTTTTCCCTAACTGAACAACTACAATCTTTCAGCTGGAAACACTATCAAACCCTGAACTAGAAAAAGTCTTTGTTAAAGAATTATTTAGATGCCAGTTTTCCCACAGTTTGTTTCCAGTTGAGCTCACAGCACAGACTTTCTACTCAGATTGATCTCTCTCTTGTCTGCTGGCTTTCATGAAACCCATCAGTACTCGGCATCTTCAAAACTATGGGTTTGTCAAGTTTGGTTAGGATTGTCCAAAACCTTCAGAAGCTGCTGAATTCACAAGGGTAACAGTGAAAGGTAAAACCATTCTTTTGAAAGACTAGAAAAAGACAGTATCCTGGCAAAAGTAAAATGCTTTCTATCAGAAGACACAAACATAATAGCTTATTGATAAATGAAGCACCCGGAAAACTAACGTGGCTTATTTTCTTATTCATTGCTACAGCTAAGCAGAAGCAAAGACTGATGAAGCACTTTACAACTTGTTCCACGGAGGACAAGTGCACCACAATCACCTTCAAGAGTTATTTCTGTGCAGAGTAAGACAGGTTTTCCTATTGTTGCCAGTACTCACTGACCTGTTACTAAGCTTCTCAAATGTTAGAGTTCAGATTGTTATGAAGTTTAGAAAGGAAATACTGTGTTATCACACCCCATAAGCCATGTTGTTATAGATGGTGATACTGTCCCAAGCTTTCAAAACAAAGCCACCCGCCTCTCTCCCAATGTCCACAAAAACAACCTTACAAGGAGCAACACAATACTACAAAGTTTTATTAATCAACTATTAAACTCCAGCACAGTTACCTACTGCCTTGACTAATTCACATAAGTTTTAAACTCATTTTTATGTCCAAGAAGTGAATGCATAATAAATTGCTTAAGCATTTCTTCAGCTCCTGGTGAGACTCCATGGAATGTCACAATAGACTTGTGCTCAAGATACACAGGCGGTGTGGTCTTAAGTCCTGGGTGCAGAAGAAAGCGTGCCTAACTTAGGTTATAGAAGGATGAATTACTTGAAATCATTTTTCCTTCTAATGTACACACATACACACACACGCTCCAGAAGAAGCCAAATGCCAAAGGCACGGGGTAGTACTGGCAAGGAGCTGGCTGTGACATAGAATCACAGAATGGTTTGGGTTGGAAGGGACCTCAAAGATCATCTAGTTCCAACCCCCCTGCCATGGGCAGGGAAATCCTCCACTACACCAGGTTGCCCAAAGCCTCTACATGCTACAAACTTCAAGTTCAAGCCTTACCTTGTATCCGTTGTCCTCCTTCCGGTTGTGGGATGCTGTGATCATCACACCAGCCACAGCCTTGAGCTGCTGAACGGCGTAGGGCTGAAAAGGAAACCCAGAAACGTCCATTTACGTAAGAGCTCTGCAGCTGGCACAAAAACATCATCTTATGAGGACAGTTACACAATGGGATGGTACAGGAGAAGTGGCTCTCAATGTTTCACCCGTTTATTTGAAAATTGTATACATGAATGCTCATCGTTCTGTTTCCTGTGGCTAGTAATAGAGGGAAAGCTTGTTCCTTTCTGTTGCATAGGAACACTGTGCTATTTCCCAAATTCCTAAACACAACTGTTAACTGGCCACCTAAAGAAAGTCTACTCACAGATGACGCTAGTATTGGAGAAAGAAAACAAGCTGAAACAGAATGAAGGAATTCACCCCAAGGCTTGTTGAAAAACAAGTTACAGGTATCTCCAGCTAAAGAGCATCCAGTCCTTTCAGTCTTCCCCTCAAAACAAGATCCACAGCGTACACAGCAGACTAGAAAACCAGGATTTAAAACCTTGCAAGAAAAAGCTTTTGTGACCAGAAGAGAAAGCTCTAACTTTTTGAGATATTAGAAGCAGAGGCAACCCCTTCATTTCTTCCACTCCAAACGGTTTAAGTCTAATGTCCAAAACCATACGACAAGTTCCTATTTATGTGTGTGTGAATATATATACATATCTCTGACCCTTATGACAGCCAGGTGTTTAAACACAGAATAAAAGACCAGCAGAATCCTTCACCTGTAACTAACAGAGCAAAGCCCAGATTGCAATAACTACTGCCCCTGCAGAGCAGCTGGAGTGAACTGGGGTTCTATGGACTATCTGCACGCAGAAAATCCAGCAGCGTTCTTGTTACAGCCTCCTTGAAGAGCCAAGTGTGCCAAGCAGCCTCTATTTTTCTGTTTAAATAATAGAATCTGAGCAGAAAATTGCTAGTTCCCATTTTTAGCAAACTTTCCAACACTCCCTTAACCGCACGGTTCAACGAGAGATGGTGACTCACCACGAACGGCGTGGGGGCATAGGTGGAAAAGAAGTACACAGGTACATCTTTGGCCAGTAGGACTGCTGCAGTGAGTTTTGCAAGTCTATCGACATGAAAAAGAAAACATCCAGTCAACCCCAACCCCCCATGACAACCCAACCCCCATGACAACCCAACAGCCATACAGCATTACTGGAACCTTCATGTCACCTGTTTCTTAAATCCCTTTTTTCCCCCCCTTACAACAGAAGCAGTATCCTCCAGTTTACACAGTCAATGTAATACAGTTTCCAGGTTACAGAATCCAAGACAGTGCTTTTATTTGTGGCTTGAAAAGCACAAGGCACTTCAGTCAACCATGTAAATAAACCCGTGATATCAAAAACAAAGATAACGAAACGACTGGTGTGACACTTGTCCTTCATTCAAGGACAAAACCAATCTCCCAGAAAGTTTAAAGTGCCAGATGTCTGCAACAGCAGGTTTCAAAAAGGATTCAGTACCCCACACAGCAAAGCTTGTTTGCCAGCCTTGTTCAGCAGCTTCAAGACAATATCAATAAAGCAGATCTGTTCCTCAAAAGTAGTTCTGCAAACCAGCACACTCTTACTCCAAGAAGTTTAGCAACAGTAACAGCACCCATGTTTTTAAATCTTGCCTTTATAATAAACTTTTTTCTTTCAAGCAGCAGGGAAACTCATTCTCTTTCAGGTAACTGACATGAAATTGTTCTTTTCAAGTCAGGTACACACGGCTCAGCGGTTAATGGGAAGTCTCAGAGTCAAACCAGATGAGAGATTAAATAGTGTAAGTTTGTTTTGCACACTCGTTTTTACAGACAAGCATCAATGCTTGTTTCCTTATCTCCCATGAGGAGTACAGAATCATAGAATCATGGAATGGTTTGGGTGGGAAGGGACCTCAAAGATCATCCAGTTCCAACCCCCCTGCCATGGGCAGGGACACCTTCCACTACACCAGGTTGCCCAAAGCCCCATCCAACCTGGCCTTGAACACTGCCAGGGATGGGGCAGCCACAGCTTCTCTGGGCAACCTGTGCCAGTGCCTCACCACCCTCAATGTAAAGAATTTCTTTCTTATATCTAACCTAAATCTCCCCTCTTTCAGTTTAAAGCCATTGCCCCTTGTCCTATCACTACACACCCTTGTAAAAAGTCCCTCTCCAGCTTTCCTGTAGCCCCTTTAGGCATGCTGTAGTCTAAGTTTCAGTTACTCCGAATTTCACTATGGCACTATCCAAATGTAACCTGAAACCACGGAGGAGTTTGAGAGCTCAGCCTGTGGCTGAAACTCCGGAAATTTTATTTGTTTATCACAATGGTTTATGTCAACTTCGTTTCGGGATACAGCAGGAGGGTCTGCCATCTCCCTCAGCACTAGGACTGATGCAAAGAAAGGGGCACTCCTGCTCATGCAGAGCTGGACAAGCGTGCTGATCCAACTGAGAACACTCTTTTGGGGAGGTTCCATTGGATTTTAGTGCTATTATAGCTACGCGTCAGTCCAAGGGGAAAAAGGAAACATGTAGTTGAGAACTGATTTGCTCCTTTGGCATGTGAAACATGACGACTGCACTGCCATCCAGTGTGAATTCCAAGCTTTGTGTGGCTGAAAAGGAACGTTTTTCTTACATTTGCACATTTGTAAGATGTACATAACCCATTTGGTATTTGGGTACCAGCCTTGCAAACACAGTATGCCAGATGAGTTCAAAACCCTCATGCCAAAGCCTGGTGGACAATGTGCCACATGCATCTGAAGATCAGACAGGAAGGTGTGGAAAGGCAGACTTCAGGGGGATGGAAAAACTCTTAGAAGACATCACAAGATTCAGTTCAAGAAGGACAAGGAACTGCTTGAGAAAGTCCAGCGCAGGGCCACAAAGATGATGAAGGGAGTGGAGCATCTCCCTTCTGAGGAAAGGCTGAGGGAGCTGGGTCTCTTTAGCTTGGAGAAGAGGAGACTGAGGGGGGACCTCATTCATGTTCATAAATACGTAAAGGGTGACTGGCATGAGGATGGAGCCAGGCTCTTCTCAGTGGCATCCAATGATAGGACAAGGGGAAATGGATATAAGCTGGAACATAGGAGGTTCCACTTAAACATGAGGAAGAACTTCTTCCCAGTAAGGGCACCAGAACACTGGAACAGGCTGTCCAGAGAGGCTGGGGGGTCTCCTTCTCTGGAGATGTTCCAAACCCGCCTGGACACATTCTTGTGTGATCTGATCTAGGTGGTCCTGCTCTGGCAGGGGGATTGGACTAGATGATCCTTTGAGGTCTCTTCCAATCCCTGACATTCTGGGATTCTGTGCTCTATTACACCAAGAACTATTACATACCCAGAATATTAAATGTTGACAAAAATTACAACAATTAACAACTACATTAATTAAAAGAATTAACTACTCATTAACTACATAATCAGCAACTGGGTTGGCTTTTTTGCAAAGCACGCCACTACAACACGTGCTTTGCTCCCCAAATGACAAGGGATTAGGATTCCTAAATTAGTACCTAAAGGGGGCCTGCAGGAAAGCTGGAGAGGGGCTTTGGACAAGGGTGTGGAGTGACAGGACACGGGGCGATGGCTTTAAACTGGAAGAGGGGAGATTTCGATGGGATCTAAGGAAGAAATTCTTCCCTCTGAGGGTGCTGAGGCACTGGCACAGGTTGCCCAGAGAAGCTGTGGCTCCCCCATCCCTGGAAGTGTTCCAGGCCAGGTTGGATGGGGCTTTGGGCAACCTGGTGTAGTGGAAGGTGTCCCTGTCCATGGCAGGGGGGTTGGACCTTGAAGGTCCTTTCCAGCCCAAACCCTTCTGTGATTCCTTACAGAATTGGGAGAGCAGTTCTTTTACAGATCCTCTCTCCCCTTTCCTCACATAGAGCACAGTTTGGCATCACTGGAAGTTTACATTTTAAGCATTCCAGCTAAAATATTCCCAACGTGGAAACACACTGAGATCAGAGACTAGCATAAGGGTACCAAAATACTGGGTTACAGCAGGCTGCAGGTAGAATTCTTCTCCCCCAAGCAAGCTTAAATAGAAGAGAATGAGTGTTAAGGGTAGTGCATTAACATTTTGTGGTTCCAAGCTAGATGTCAGTATTCCAAATTTACCTTCACATTCAAATTTCTCTCCAGGCATATCAACTTCTTAATGTCTGCCTAACGTGCTCGTGGATTTAGACTGTAAATTCTTTGGTGAAGTGACTAGCCTTACATTCCACATTTTCTGGCAACTGGTATAATAAAGGCTTTAGTCCATGCCTCCCTTCACTACTATCTAAATGGATTAAGGGAATGGAAATAGTGTGCGTGG